CTTGCAGATGGGGCTGGAGAGTTGGCACAGCTGTTCTGGCAGAGGACCCTGGTTCAGTTCCCAGCCCCCACATGGCAGCTAACCACCACCTGTAACTCCAGTTCCAGGGGATAAAATGCCCTTCTCTGACTTCCGTGGACATTGTACGACATGGGTATACTTACATACATGCAGGCAATACACTCATACACATAAAATAAAATAAAATAAAATAAAAATAATAAATAAAATATTTTTAAAAATCTTGCTCACAGGGGGTAGAAAGATTGTAAGAGCCAGAGGGGGTGGATGACCACAAAGAAACAGTTTTCCAGATAGATGGTCAGCTACTCACATGAACTCACAGCAATGGTGACAGCATGCACAAGTCCCAGGTAAGCTCAAACCAGACAACATCCAAGCAAAGATGTGGGGAAATGGGTAAGAAACCACAACTTTACCTATCTAAGGAACTATTTGGGAACCAATGGCTGCTGGGAGAGGGAGAGTCAGTCTCTCTCAGCATGGCTCTTTGTAGGTTAAACAGGCTCAAGTGGATGGACCCACACTGAAAGACATTTGGGGGCACAAATTAGAGTACATTAAATTGGATGGGGTCAGTAAAGAGAGGTGTGGATGAGGGGATATAAATACCATCAAATTGTATTTATGAAAATTACAAAAATTCAACAAAATTTAAAAAATTTCTTCCTTTTTTTTATGTATGTGAGTGTATTGCCTGCATGTGTATAAGTGCACCCATGTTGTGCATCCCATGAAGGAAAGAAGAGGGCGTCGGGTCCCCTGGAACTGGAGTTAGGATGGTTGTTAGCTGCCATGTGGGTGCTGGGATTCTAACCCGGGTCCTCTATAAGAATTACCAGTGCTCTTAACCGCTGAGACACCGCTCCAGCCCTCAACAAAAAAAAAAATGTAAAAAATTCTTGCACATAGCGAATTAGGGAAGAGCTAAGACAGTGTGGCTTTTTAAGTTCAATTCCATAGTGCACAGGGAAAACTCTTATATGGGGAGACCAGGAGATGCCTCACCCCTTTGCCTGCTTCCCATCAGGCCTAGTGAAACAAAGAATTTGAGTTAAAAAATATTTTTTTTTGAATGTCTAAATTCTTCTGTGATCTGCTGAATTTTCTCCCAGAGGTCATGAGAAAAATAATTTCCTTTTGGTGTTGGGGATCCAACCCGATTGTAAATATGTTCTCTCTCTCTCTCTCTCTCTCTCTCTCTCTCTCTCTCTCTCTCTCTCTTTGTGTGTGTGTGTGTGTGTGTATGCATGCACTTATGAGTGCCACAGTTCATATGTGGACACCAGAGGACCATTTTTGGAGTTGGTTTTCTTCTTCCATCGTGTGGGTTCCGGGGATTAAACTCAGGTCATTCGGCTTGGTGGCAAGCACCTTTACCTACTGAGTCATCTTGCTCCCTCGGGGGAGCCCATATTTTCGACTGATTGCGTGACTTAAAAAATCTTCTTTTCCAGGGATGGAGAGATGGAGAGATGGCTCAGTGGTTAAGAGCACATACTACTCTTACAGATGACCTGAGTTTGGTTCCCAGAACCCTCGTGGTGGCTTCCAATCATCCATAACTCCAGTTCTAGGGGATTTGCTGCCTTCTTTTGGCCTCCAAGGGCACCAGGCATGCATGTAGTGCACATACGTGCATGCAGGCAAAACACACAGCATAAAGTAAAAATAAATAAACCTTAAAAACCCCTCTTCTCCCTCCTTCTGTCCATACACGCCACACTCCTTTCCCATTGCTTCTTCTTTGATTTGTGCTTGGATAGGTTCTGTTTTGGCGCAAACTTGAAATTGTCACCTGGTTGCCAGGCAACAGAAGCTATACAGTTGGGATGCATTTAATGTTAAATTGTCCCATCTGCTTCTGAGGCTGAACCTGTCAAAACTCTAGCCCTGATAGGCATCAGGTGGGGAGCTGGTTAAACACACAGGTACTGAGGCTCTACCCTGAGCCAGTGCTACTGGGCTGGTGGGGCGATGTCCAGGCACTGAGCCTATGTGGGTGGCCCCTGTGACAACAAGTGGTCTGAAGAGGCCAGAGAAATTCAGTGTTTAAATATCGATAGCTTCAGGGAGAAGATGCTTGAACACAGAAAAGAAAGAAGGCAAGGCTATTGGAAGTCCCAGAGTTTAGGCCTGTTTATTTCCCCATCAAAACCATCCTATCCCACCCCAGTGTATTGCAATCCAACAAATGACAACGTTCAGAACCTATTTTTTAAATAGTGTATTATTTTTAGTTTATGTGTATGAGGGTATTGCCTGCATGTAAATGAGTGTACCCGTGTCGTGCAATGCCGCAGAGGTCAGAAGAGGGTTTCGGATTCCCCTGGAACTGGAGTTAAGGATGGTTCATAGCCACCATGTGGGTGCTGGGAATCGAACCAGGATCCTCTGCAAGAGCAGTCAGTGCTCTTAACCACTGAGCTGTCTCTCTAGCCCCCAGAACCTATTTTATGGTTAAGAAATGGAAGCACAAAGAGGATGGGTAACTTATCCTAAGTTGCACAGTTAGGAAGTGGAACAGCTGGGATTTGAACCAAGATGGTCTGGTGTCTCAGCAGATATCCAATATGGTGGATTAGAGTGAAGGTTCTTGGGCTGGCCAGGCTGAGTTCTTGCCCAATTTCTGTCATTTGCTAGCTCTTGACCTTGTACAAACTGTCTGATCTCCCTATGCCTCAGTTTCCCAAGCTTTAAATTAGAAGGAGAATAATCACAGGTGGATAACAAAGTGTCTGTCAATTATGTCCTGATGAATTTTTCGGGACATGTCCTGTCCATAATCAACACATCAAATAACATATCAAAGCACCCCTGTCAAGCTAATGGCTTTTCATAGCCATTAGCCACTGTGTTAATTGGCTAATAAATTTTATCAGGCAGGAAGGAGTTGGGCATGAGAGGCCTTCCCTGGCTCTTCCTCCATGTCTAACCTTCATCTCATACTGGATCTTGGACATGAGGCTCAAGGGTGGGACTAAGGAGGAGTTAGAAATAATAGGGAGGGGGGAGAATAGGGTGGGGAAGGGAGAGAGTGGAGTGGAGCTGGAGAAAATTACCTTGTAGTTAAGGAACTTTGTTCTTTAGTTTATTTTTTAAATGAATAATTCTTAGATTCGTTTGTTTGTTTGTGGTTGTGTCTATATATTTGTATGTTTGCCCATGCTATAGCGAGCATGTGGAGGTCAGAGGACAACTTTCAGGGGCTAGTTCTCTCCTACTATGTGGGTCCTAGTGGGAATTGAACTCAGGTCTTCAGGTTTGGCATCAAATGCCTTTATCCACTGAACCATTACAGTCACTAGCTGACTTTGCTTTATAACACAGGAACTTGGTGTGACTGTCCAAGTGGCTATGACAACCTGATGGCTATGTCCAGAAGGGCATACAAAGATGTAGCCTCCTGCCCCCCACCCATCTCTTCCCTTATAGCAACCAACTGATCAGTATCTCAGGCCAGCACCTCTTCATCTGCCCTTGCAGGGGCTCTTCAAGTTTCTTCCTTGTGAGACTGGACTTGAAATCAGCTAAGTTTGAGCTCTGTGCTCCTTGGGGCTGTGTATATGGGAAGGAAGGACTGAGGTAATGGTGGTGCTACCTCTCTGGGAACCCTCTTATGGGTTGGGCTCTGATGGGAAGAAGGATGAGGAGGAATTGGGGAGGAGGATAGGGAAGATGCATCATGCAGTGGTGTTTGGGGAAGGAGGTCTATCCCCCACCCTAACACTGCCAGCAGCTTACAGTGTCCCTCAGTGGTCAGCCATTTGTGGGTAGCTTTAGCTAAAGAGTGCTCTGGCCCTACAGGGACTGATTTAGGGGTATAAAACCCATCCTTCTGGTCCCAAATCAGGACACATTTGGAAAATCTTTAATTTTCTCTTTTGCATACTGAGGATTGAACTCAGGGCCCCGCACATGCTAGGCAAATGACCTAATGTTTAACTATAACCTCAGCCCTCTTTTATGTGTGTATATGTGTGTGCATTTGTGTATGTGCAGGAGTATGTATGTGTGCAGGAACGCATACATGCGTGGAGGACAGAGGACAACCTTGGGTGTTGTTCCTTAGGAGCCACCTTGTTTTATAAGACAAGGTCTCTCTGTGGCCTGGAACTCACTAAGTAGGCTCAACTGGTTGGCCTACATGTCTCAAGGTTCCTCCTGCCCCAACTTCCCCAGCACTGGGATTACAAATGCATGCCACCATGCCTAGTTTTTTTGTTCATGGATTCTGGGGACTGAACTCAGGTCCTCATGCTTGTAAGACAAGTATTTCTCCAATTGAGCCATCTCTATCTCTCTAGCCCTTCTTGGGCCTTTTGTTTTTTACTTAAAAAAAACCAAATATTTTATTATTTTTATTTTATGTGTATAAGTGTATTGCCTTCATGTATGAGAGTGCACCCATGTTGTGCAATGCTGCAGAGGTCAGAAGAGGGCTTCAGATTCCCCTGGAACTGGAGTTAAGGACGGTTTGTAACCGCCCTGTGGGTGCTGGGAATCGAACCCGGGTCCTCTGCAAGAGCAGTGTTCTTAACCGCTGAGGCATCTCTCTTTGTTTTTCACTTTTAATTTGAGATCGTGTCTCACTAAGTTGTTCAGAGTGGCCTGGAACTGACTGCAGCCCAAGCTAGCTTTGAATTTGTGATCTTCCTGCCTCAGCCTCCCAAGTAGCTGCCATAAGTGACCTACATCACCAGACCTGGTTTGAAAGGTCATCATTAGAACTCTCTGCAGCTTCTCCTGAGCCAGTGTGGTAGCTCAGCTCTCCCTCTGGCCAGCTGACCTCCTCCTCCTCTTTCTAAGAGTGCCCTTAGCAGCTTCCTCCAGCTATCTCAATGTGGGCTTCCTGGATGCCCAACCCGTGATGACAAAAGATGACAGCCAGCCAAGTCAAGTCCACTTTTTAATAGTTTAACCATAATGCAAACAAGCATAAGTAGACTTTTTGTTGAATCCCATAAAACGAGAAGATGAGGACCACAGAGAAGAGCATGCGCAAACACAGCCTGGACAACCTCGCAAGGGCACGGGGGAGGGTGGTGTTGCTGGAGCACACGGGACACTTGGCAAAGGTTAGCAGCATAGAGAGGTCAGAGGTAGGGGGGAGCATCTGAGTTTCTCATAGTGTGTGCATGGTGAGACGGAACCCCAGCTCTGCCCACTCTCTCCAGCACCCCCAAACCCCACAGTGAACAACTATGGGTGCAGTTGACGAGGGTTGTCTGATCCCACGTGGAGCCTGGGATTTCCTGAAAGCTACTATTGAGCCTGAAGTGGGTCTTACAGTCACAAAGACAACATAGCAACAAAAATAAGGAAGACAGAGCCCAGGGCACGGAGGTGGGGTGGGGACAAGAGACGGGGCCTCAGTATATCTTAAAATGCTTAGCTGTCCTTTGGCTTGAGATTGATACTCTACCATAGCCTCTCTACAGAGCTTTCTAGTCTTGATTCGGAGCAGGTAACAAACAACTTCTGCGGACCTCTTCTGGGTATACAGTCAGAAGGCCCACAGCAGCAGGTGGGTGGTTCTATGGCCAATGAAATCCAAAAGCAATGTTTCCTCGGTCCAAGGGCTGGAGGTCTTGCCCTCCCAGACAACATTGGGCACTTTCTGGTGACCTATGTGGCTGTCCTAAATGACAGGAGACTGCTGGTGGCATTCAGTAGAAGAGGTCACCTAGAACAGCCTTCATGATGAACCACCTGGCTCCAAATAGTGATGCTGCCCAGGTCAGCAGACCCAGGGCCAGAGTCTCCTAGATGTCAAGATCCAATCTGGCCACTGCCATGCCCTGATTCATTGTCTCTAGATGGTGGGAAGCGGTTTGTAAAGTCAGGTAGCTTCTGCCTGCCAGGCCATTGTGTTAGTAACTGATTATCTTCGATTAGTTATGCCTGATTATTCAGAATCATTTAACTATGTCAGGACCATCAGACTTATAAGCACACTTGAGGCATGTTGATCCCTGGTGACCTCCCTTGTTGGTATGACAGGTTGAATGTCCTTTGCCAAAATACTTGGGATTTCAGATTTTGAACTTTTTTGATTTTGTAATGTTTGCATATTCATAATGGGGTATTTTTTTTTGTGTGGGACTTTCCTCTAAACATGAAATTCATTTACTTTTCATATATGCCTTACATAATAGCCTAAGGTGATTGTTTATTTTTTATTTATTTATGGTGCTGGGGGTGGAATCCAGGACTCTGGTCACCCTGCACAGGTGGATCTGAAGTCTCATGAAGGTCAAGTAGCCATCCTGAGGCCTCCTGCATGAACAGGGAAGTTAGTGTATGGACTCAGGTCTGCTTGAAAAACCCATGGGAGGGATGGAAAGTGTTTTTCCCCAAAGAAAAAGTGATCTACCACTGAGCTCCATCCCCGGTCTATCCATTATTTTAAATAATTTTCAGGATGAACTAAAATCTCCAATTGTGGCATCATGTGGTGCTCAGAGCATTTGGGATTTTGGAATATTTTGGATTGGGGGTTTGGGGTGCTCAGCTTGTATCAGGAAAGGGATACTGAGAGTTCCTGGGCCCTCCACATTTGAGACTCAGCACAGCTAACTTTTCTTCTAGGTGGGGTCCTGCAGTGGACAGAAGAGGGGTGAATAAGAGGAAAAAGAAAAAGCCAGGCTAGCCTTGGCCCCTCAAGGCAAAATCCCTGTCCCTGGGGACCATCTATGTTGAGTCCTTGAGAGGCAAGGCCCCTGGTGGGAGGTAAATAAAATAATCTTTGGTTGGCTTGAAACTCAGTTTAGGAACCTGAAACTTTTCAGGGTTGAATGAAAAGGCTGGTGCTGTAGGGATGAAGGACAGACACCAGGCTTGCTCAACCTGCCCAGAACCACTTGCTCCACCATCTGGGTGAGAGCCCCTCCTTCTTGTTTTGGGCTTAGGGCAAAACCTGAGCTCTTTGGAACCCCAAAGGAAAACAGAGCTCCTAGTTCTGTGTCAACTGCCTAGGCTCAGTTTCCTTCTCTTGCATCGAGGCCTGACTGGATCTCCCTGTCAACCTGTCTCTGTCTTTACTGTCCTCAAAAGCCAGGGTACAAGGCCTATGACTCCACCTGCCTCTCCCTTGCTCAAGTTGGTGCTGGCATTAACCTTGATGTTGGAACACTGTGTCCATGTGCTATGGAACCTAGACATTTTATAATGAAGGGGAAAATGGAAGCTCGCCAGAGCTTGGGCCTGGTACATTGTCTCATCGAGTCACCGTGCACAGGTGGATCTGAAGTCTCATGAAGGTCACGCAGCCATCCTGAGACCTCCTGCATGAACAGGGAAGTTAGTGTATGGACTCAGGTCTGCTTGAAAAACCCATGGGAGGGATGGAAAGTGTTTTTCCCAAAAGAAAGACACTTGCCATCTGCCTCCAAAGATACCCAGGGAAGGCCTCACCCCTCCAAGAGGTTGAACTGTGTCTGTACTTTCACACAGGAGGAATGAGAATTGGGAGTCATATTGGGGAGCATGAAGTTTCTGTCTTCCTGTTTCAGGGGTCCTCTCCTTTCTCCTGGTCAAATCCATTTTCATGAAATGAGGTCAGAGATAATGTAGGGGAGAGAGGGAAACAAACAGGTTACAACCTGGGTCTCCCCAAATGCTTGTCTCCTCCCTCCTTGATCTCTTGCTGCTTGGCCCTAAATTTGCACTTGTTGGCTGTGGGCCTGAACTAAACTCCGCCAACAGAGGGCAGTATTGACCCACCCTGAATCCACTGAGCCAGCACATCCCATGCCGCTCTGTCTTTTGACAGTCTCACTTGAGGGCTGGGGATGTAGCTCAGTGGTAGAGTGATTGCCTGGCATGTGTGGAGCCCTGGGTTCCATCCCTAGCACTGAAAAACCAAAATCCCTCTTGGGATGAAAGATGAACCTGGTTACATAAGCAGGTCTTAGGACTCTCTGGGGGAATGGCTGGAGATTTCTTCCTAGCCCACCTGCTGCTCAGAGCACAGGGAGGAGCCTGGCACGTGGGGAGTGCTCCTTATCCTGAGGTAGAAACTCACTTGTGCATGCATGCTTGCTTGCCTGCATGCGGCTTGGCATGCAGAGGGAGGTTCTGGTCAATGCTTCTGTGATGAAGGATGGACACAGGAGTTCAGACCAGGGGAATTAGTGCCATCTTAGGAAGCATCCCCAGAGTCTCAAAGGGTTGAGGAGAAGGTCCCAGGGAGAAGACCTACCAGGGGCCAGCTTCCTGTGTTGGAAAGACAAAAGCAAAGTCATGGCTGGTACCTCTAGGCCAGAAAGAGCCACTAGAGGTTAGGGGGTTAGGGGTTAGTCTCTATAGCCAGCAAAGACCAAGCATGAAAAATCAGGATTAAAGGAGGACAGAAAAGATTATGACAGAAACAAACTCCTCATGCTAGTGCTGAGACACAGTGAGGGTGTCCAGAGATGCATAAGACTTGTCTTTGAACTTGGGGAGGGTACTGAAGAGTGGGGATATAGCTCAGTTGGTAGAATTCTTGCCTAGCATGCATGAGGTCCTAGGCTGGACACCCAGCACCACATAAACTGTGGAGGGTACATGCCTATAATCCTAGCACTGGGGAGGTGGAGATTAGATCAGGAGTTCAAGGTCATCCTCATTTACACAATGAGTTTAAAGTCAGCCTGAGCTACAGGAGTTCCTGTCTAAAAGAGGAAAAAGAAAAAGAAAGAGAAAGAGAAAAAGAAAAAGGGGTTGAAGCCCTTAGAGTCTTGAACCTCCAATTTTAATCCTTGGTGCTTTCTTTTTAATAGCTCCCTAAACGGAGCATCAGGAAAGCTTGGTCCCAGGACACAGAGCTGGAGGTTTTTCTGTCTGACAAGACCAAATAGGAGCACAGAACTGGGAGCCAGAAACCAAACAGGAACACAGGAGCCATCTCTTGAGGCTGGGAGTTACAGGGGTTTCTTAATTGTCTCTTAATCCTGACTGACACTGATTTTTAAGCACAGAAGGGAGCCCCCCTCCACCGACCGTGCTGACTCTGAAGGTGAGCTCAGGGGGCTACTGCAAGGGCCAACCTGCCCTGGCTCCAATTTTACTTGCTACCTCTGATGCCCATTTTGGGGGATCAGAGAATGAAGACATTGTCAAAGTGATTTTAGCAGGTTTGAAATTTAGAAGACCCACTTTAGGGACTAAAAGCTGGCTAGTCAGACTCTCACCCCTCTGAGTCATGGTTCCTGTTGAGGATAACTAGGTCTACTCCAATCCCTTTCATCTGGTTCCCCTATCTTATTCCCAAGTGTGAAGCAGAAAGCCCATTTGGAAAAATAAATAACACTCAATATTCTTCCTTGACATTGCTTTTAGGCTCCCAAACACTAAAAACGTCCCATCCAGTCATTTGATGAAGGGATGTTTAAGACAAGCTACCCTAACTCCCCTAGTGGAAAATAGGACACACTCAGCCAGCATGTTCCCCTGCAGAGCATGGCTGCCAGGCCTGTGGATGGAGTTGCCTACAGAGGGCTCAATATGTGTGGCCACATCAGGTGGTCATTGTTGGGGTATGTGGCAATGGGCAGGGGCTTGCCTGATCTATCCACTGGGTTCTTTTCACAGCCATGGCTCTGGGTGGGAATCTAAATGCATGAGATTCTATCATGAACTCTTTCACAGTGGCGTCTTCCTCTCCATCACACACCTGTTTCCTCTGATCTTTCTACTTGGACTGTTGAGGGACTTGCTGATGTTTCAGGAAGACTGGTACAGATCCTTCATGATGGACATATGAGGAATTAACAATGGTTAGGGATAGGTTTTGTGGCACTGGGCTTCCTCCATGAAGGCAGCGGGCTCACATGTAAGGTCGGTTCACTTGTGCAGGCAAGAGGACAGACAGAGACCCAGGCCAAACACACACACACACACACACACACACACACACACACACACACAAACCATGATAAAAAAGGATGGGAGGGTGCTGGAGTGGTTGATGGACTAGTTCAGGATAATACTGAAGTACAGTGCCTGTTGCTATTCCAGGGGACCACAGAGGACAGACCTCAACATGAGTGACAGCCACAACCCAGTGGTTTCATGCGCCATGACCTGCCCTTGATAGCAAGCGGGTAGAGAGGACATGGGTTTGTAAGAGCCACTGCAGGGTACAAGGGCAATGCATTGCAGCACGAGAGTCAAGGAGAAAACCCAGTGCGAGCCCAGAGAAGGAGGAAGGACCAGGACTCAGTGACAGGACAACAGGCAGTGTGTGTGTGGGGGGGGGCACATGGGATCCCATGGGAAAGGTTCAGCCATGTGTGTCTGCATTTAGTCAACTGCATCCGCCTTCACTGGAGCACTGGGGTGGCCACCTCGCCATCCCATTGGGGCTGGAGGATCCAGTTAGGAGCTGAAAACCCTGTTGGAGGAGAGGGGGAGAACATCAGCTAACTGCCGAGAGCAGGCCCCTTTGTTTCTTTCAGATGATCCAGAGACAGCCAGGAGTGTGAGTACCTGGAATTCTAGCACTTGGGAGACAGAGGCAGGAGGATAGTAAGTTTGAGGCCAGCCTGGGCTATATAGTGAGATGCTATCTCAAGAAAACAAAACCAAACAACAAACAAAGAGACCAGAGGGGCTGAAGAGCCAGCCCAGCAGTTAAGAGCATCACCACAAAGCTCACAACTGCCTGTAACTCCAGCTTCAGGAGATCCAATACTTCTTTTGGCTTCTGTGGGTACCTGCATACAAGTGAACATATAGTTACACACACACACACACACACACACACACACACACACACACAGACACAAATTAAAAAAAAATCTTTAATAACAAGAGAGGCCAGAGCAAGCTGCCTGTACTTGGGCTCAGAAAATTTCTCTTTACTAGCCCTAATATGTTGGATGGGGCTTGGCACATAGTAGGGACTTCCCACAAATGAATGCCTGAATGTTTACTCACCAATACAGCTGGCTAGCAGAAGAGACATGAAAGGGGCTTTCCACAATCCATCAAGGAAGGTGTGAGCTTAGAGACAGTGACATGAGGCTGGGGAGTCGGCTCGGTGGATAAAGTGCTAACCATACAAACATGAGAGCCTGAGTTCAGTCCCCGGCATCCATGTAAAAACCTGGACATGGCTGTGTGTGTCTGAAACCCCAGCTCTGGGGAGGTGAGGACAGGAGGATCCCTGGAGTTCGCTGGCCAGCCAGTCTCACTCAATCAGTGAGGCCCAGGTTCAGCGAGAGACTCTGTCTCAAAAATAAAGGGGAGAGCCAGGCATGGTGATACATGCCTTTAATCCTAGCACTAGGGAGGCAGAGGCAGGCAGATCTCTGTGGGATTGAGACCAGCCTGGTCAACATAGTGAGTTCCAGGCTAGCTGGGGCTACAGGGAGACCCTGTCTCAAAAAAAAAAAAAAAAAAGTGGAGCACAAGAAAGACACTCAATGTTGACCTCTGGCCTCCACATGCATGTACACACAAATTCACACGCACATACATACACACACACCAATAGTGTGAGCCAAATGGACAGTATGTTTTGAAATAGCTGAGTTATCTGAAGAAGGAAAAAATGAGAAGGCTCAGGAAGCCAAGCCCAGTCTGCTACTGGTGAAGACAGCTGAGTTCCACCTGCTTTAAGGGGACGGCATGAGGGGCAGGGGTGAGGGTGGACACTGGGACAACCGGCAAAGTTGCTGCCTCCAGGAGTCAAGGTTTAAACAGTGAGACTCCGTACCACTCTTGTAGTCTCTCAGGCAGTTTCCGACAATTTCTAGAGGCTGAGTGAAATTGCCAGAATCCAATCTGTTGGAAATTTGCACCCAGGAACACATCCCCACTGACTTCCAGGTGACCCGCGGAGATAGCGAAGTGTGCCAGTGCACACCTGTAAAACTAGCAGCGGAGGTGTGCCAAGCTGCAGGAAACAACATCCCTGAACAAGATGTTGCTCCCCTGGGGGCACCCTAGACAGGTGCTGACATGCAAAGCAGGGTTCTCACACTCTGGGGTCCTCACAGTCCCCAGAGGGCCTGCTGATCACTGCACCATAACTTCCAAATGTCCAACTCTGCAGGTCTGGGGTCATCAGGGAATTTTCACTTCTTTCTTTTGTTTTATTGAGAGATGGTCTTGATAGTTATGTAGCTCAGGCTGGCCTTGGGCTAGTCGTCCTCCTGTCTCTGCCTAAGGAGGGCCAGGACTATAGCCATGCTTCACCATATCAGGTGGGAATTTGCATTTCCAACATGGTCCCCGGTGATGCTACTGCCACGGGCCTGGGGAAAAGTCAGGCATTCCTGACCGCCCCCTCCCCTCAGGGCTGGAGCCAACTCACTCATCTGTGTCTTTTTTGCTCTCTTCGATGAAGGCAATGGACTCTGATCTAAGGCGGTTGGTCACTTCGTATGTTCGCAAGGTGACTCCAAAGATGTCCTCATGGTACCGGTTGTCATCCTAGGGACAGAAACAACCAGGAATGGCAGATATGGGTTAAGAGAGAGACAGGCAGGGTGGTACATGGAATGGAAAATGCCCAGACAAGACAAAGGCTTGTGTAAGCAGTGTGGCAAAGAACCCATTGTGTGATTATCTGGATAAAGGGCAGCAGCTTTGTAGATCTGAGCCCAGATGACATGATACGACCAGATGAGGCCAAATGTTTCTTCATTCTCACTCTCCTCCCTCCTACAAGTTCCCTGCAAGTTCAGATCTGGGCAAGGTTGGGTTAAACGTGAAATGTCCAAACCTGTTGGCACCAGCAGACGGGAGGAAAGAGAAGGTGGCTGTGGAGTGAGGAACACTCCCACAGCCACCCAAATATAGACTTCTTGGTACCTACATTTTAAAAAGCAGCTGGGATGTAGCTCAGTGGTGGAGCTTATGGAGCAGGCACAAGGCCCTGGGGTCCACTCTTAGCACAGCACGGGGGAAATACATACATACATATACATATATGTGTGTGTGTGTGTATGTGTGTATATATGATGGGAGCTTCCTTGGCAGAAGTTGCGGGGGGAGCGGCGCAGACAGCGAGGGCAGTTAAGAATATTCTCAGAGGAGCCACGTGTGGTGGTGCACACTTTAATTTCAGCACCCTGGAGGCAGAGGCAGGCGGATCTCTGTGAGACTGAGCCCAACCTGGTCTATATAGTAAGTTCCAGGTCAGCTGAGGTTATAGGGAAATCCTGTCTCAAAAAGACAAAAAACAAACAAACAAACCATTCTCTGGGGAGATGCATGGCAAAGCTGATGACCATAGGAGCTGGCTGGCATTACTTTCTTTCCCCGCCTGTGAGGTGTGTGTTTGTGTGTGTATGTGTGTTTTACTGAAGCCGGTCTCTCACTTGAACCCAGTGCTTCCCAGTTCAGCTAGTTGCATTAGCTGCTTGCTCCAGGAATTCTTTGTCTCCACCTCCAGTGTGTGCTAGATGAAGGTGGACCACTACACCTTCCTGGTATTTAGGTGGGTGCTGGGGATTGGAACTCAAGTCTTCATACTTGTATAAAAAGTACTCTAACTGCTGAGCCATCTCCACAGCCTACCACCCAGCATGTCTATCGGAAAGCTCTTTTCAATTGCTGGGGTTTAGAATTAGGTTTAGAGAAAGGGGTTCTTCTACAAAAATGTTTAATTACTGCTGGGGCTGGAGAGATGGCTCAGTGGGCAAGGGTGCTTTCCACCAAGACTGACAAACAGTTCAATCCCCAGGACCCACATGGTGGAAGAAGAGAACTAATTCCCACAAGTTATCCTCTGACCTCCACATGTTCCCCATGGGACACACGTACACCACCCCAACCCCCGCAAAAAAAAGAGCAACACTTGGTCATGGCTCACTGAGGAAAGAGGGGAGGGGTGTGGGACAGGACCACCTCTGCAGCTGGGGTTCTTTGGAGGTCTGGAAGTCAGTTCCTTTTGGGACAGTGGGTCACATAGTTAGGATGTGCTGGCTGAACTGCCACTAGCCTCTACCTAGACTTTGAGCATATTAAAGAAAGGCCCCTCCTTTAGGGAGGACACAGAACCATGTCAAGTGCCCAGTTTGGAGCTCAATCACAGGGTGGCATTCTGTTTCTACTTGCTTTCCTTGGGAAATTCTTTTTCTGCAGTTCAAAATGCATACACTGCATAGGTCTGGCTGCAGCCTGGCTCTGGGGACCAGGAAGAGTTGAGTCAGGATGCTTTCTGTGAAGCTACCTCCAGGCCTACCTGCTTGTTATTTTCACACAATATAGCCTACGACCACACTGCTGCATGTACCTGCATGCCCACCATCCAACTTTTCTCTCAACCATGGCTAGGCACAACCTGTATCCTATAGTCCCAGTTTTAACTACAGAAAGAACTCCCTGAATTTTGGAAAAAAGTAGGGTGAGGAAGAAGCTTCTGGACCCTGGGTGCCACCTGTCACTTACCCTCAGTCTGCTGATGAACACGCCAGCATCCTCCTCTGAGAGTTTCCCCTGCTGGGTCATGATGCGCTGGATGGCTTTGAGGACATCAGCCGCCATGGTGACGTCCCCACAGACATAGATGTGGCCCCCTTGCTCCTTCAGGGCTCGGTACACGGGCTCTGCCAGCTGCTCCTGCAGCACATCCTGTACGTATTTCTGTGGAGGAGAAAGATAGAGGAGGAAGAGAATGAGGAGGAGGGGGTGGAGGAGGAAGAGGAGGGTGAGAAAGGGCTGCTTTGAGGGCTCCTGTGTTCCCCCAGGAAGGACAGTGCACTGCAAGTGTTGTGGAGAGGGAGATGTTTTATGAAGCCACCACAGGGAATGGGATGAGGGAACAGAAAGAATGAAACAAGGGAAAAAGGGGACCAAGCCATGGGGTGTGAGTGAGCTAATTCCAGCCTCTGGCCGCTGGAGCTCAACTGTGGAGGACCCTGTGGGGAGCCAGGGGAGTGCTCCCAGGACCATCTCAGGGGGTGTACGCCCCCAGGCATAGTTAGTCTCTACCGTCAACTTGACGAGATCTACAATCACCTAGGAGACAAACCTCTGGCCATGTCTGTGAGGGAGTTTCTAGATTGGGTTGAGGTGGGAAATAGTCCTTGAAAGTGGGTGGCAGCATCCCATGGGTGGGGATCCTGGACTAAATACAAAGGAGAAAGTGAGCTGAGCCCCAGCACTCATCTCTCTCTGCTTCCTGGTTGCAGAGGCGATGTGACCAGCTGCCTCACGCTCCTGCCGCCATGCCTTCCCTGCCATGACGGACTGTACCCTCCAATTGTGAGTCAAAATGAAACTTTCTTTCTTTGGTTGCTCTCGTCAGGTATTTTGTCACATCAAGGAGTCAAGTACATAGGGGTATTAGCCACATGTACTCTCCTCAAAGGGCTGGTGGCCATAATTGGGTGCCAGAGACACTCAGGACAGATAGCTAGGCACTCAGAAGCTGTGGATGGTAGCTGTTTGGCAGTTGGGGATAGGGTGGGGTTGGTCAGCAGAACTTGCCAGCTGAATGCCAGTCTCACAGAGGGGAATTCCTGGGATATTAAATGCAAACTCCCTGCAGGTTGTATGAGGTGCACCTGAGTGTACACAGGTGTGGGCTGGGTTACCTTTGGTCTGTCTGGCTCCCGGGAGTAGGCCGTGTACAGCTCTCTGAAAACACCCTTATTCTTGGCCTGCAGGGTCTCCTCTCTGTAGATGTGATCTATCTTGGATTGCCGACACCCGAAGACCAGGACCATGGGACAGGGACTCATTCCTGGGGACCGGGAAGACCCCATGTCAATGATGGCTCTGATGTCCCAGTGCTACAGGATGAGCTACAGGAACCAGGGTGCTGGGACCTCAGGGTGTGTGTGAAGGGAGACGCTCATACACACGGGACAGGCAGGTACATACATACACAGGTGTACCCACATGCTTGCATGCATGCATACAGACATGCACAGCCGGTGGGGAGCAGAGGACGTGGGTCCAGGCCTCCGTAGCCCTCCCTTCCCTGGTCTCCCTCTTTTCTTCTGCCCCCAGGCTCATTAGCAGTGCCCCCAATGGAAAATGCTCATAGTCTAGACTGGAGTCAGATCACTGGGGTTGGAGTCCCAGCTCTCTGTGACCATGAGCAAATGACTTCAGGCTGTAAGCCTCAGTTTCCCCTAAGTGCAAAACAGAAGCACAGCTATCCCAGAGGATTCCCAGGGAACAGTGATTCCAGGACCCACCCTGGGTATAAAGATCTGCTGGGGTTCTTAATGGAAAATGGCACAGCACTCACTAGATTTTTTTATGCACCTTCCCACATACTTTCAATCACCTCTCCACTTCTAATACTTGATGCATTGTGCATGCTTTATAAATAGTCATTACACTGAATTATTCAGGGGAAAGTCTGTCCATGCTCAATACAGGTGCCTTATTTTTCTTACACTCTGATGTGAAGTTGGGTGAATTAGACTTAGAACCCACAGACTCAGAGTATGTGGAGGCTGACGGTCATAACACCCACCACCTCCTGGGGTCGCTGTTCTGTGGGAGCACAGTTCTATGGGGCAGATTTTTATTTTTATTGCCCTGGCTTATTTACTGCTGTGTTCGTAACTACTACAAAAGCACCAGACACTAATTAGGTGCTTAGCAAATCCTTGTTTGATTAGTGCATCAACTGTGATCTTCTCTCTCCTCCCAAACCTGAACTTGATCTCACACAGCGAGCCTGAGTGACAGTCCACAGGACCGTCACACACACATATCCATTTGACAAGGATGCATGTCTACTCTGCTGGGACAGGCTGGATGGTGAGTCTTTTTGGATGTGCTGTTTGAATTGCACAGCACCTATGGTAGACCAGTATGACAGCCCTGCCTGTCCCCTCCCCAGGCAGTGAGCCCGCCACCATCCTCCAGGTCTGCTGAGACATGGGACACAGGTCAGTGGCTGCTGGACTGTACCCACCTTTGTGTTGGATGTCAAACTGTCGCTGCTGCCAGAAGCTTCGGAAGGGAGCAATGCCAGTGCCTGGGCCAACCAGGATGCAGGGGACCTGGGGGTTTCTGGGCAGGTGGAAGCTGGGGGCACTGGACAATGAAGAGAGAGTTAGAAGCCTTGTTGGGTTGGGCTCCAACCACCATATTGGAGCCTGAGGTAGTCCAGGCAGTCATCTTAGGGAGACACATAATGAGACTTACTGCTATTTAGTGGGACATGGACCCTTTTCAGGGTGGGAGCTCACAAATTTGAGGAACCCAGACTAGGAGGTTGTTGGGTCTGACTTTCTCCTTCCCTGATTCTCACTGTCAGGCTGAGGCACAAGGGCAGTGAACTTGGGCTAACCTGGAGTTTCTCTATGTTCTGACTCTGGGGCTGGATGCCCCTTGTTGGGTGCTGTTCTGTGTACTGGGAAATCACATGCCACACTGGCTTCTACCCACTTGATGTTAAGACATCAAGCTGTGACAACCCCAATATCAGATGTCCCCAGGGTGGTAGGCAGAGGGTGAAAATCACCCTGTGTTGAATTTTAATTTTAAAAATATTTTTGCCAGCGCACTGTCCAGGGCTATTAAAGCACAGAGCTCCGGGCTATGTGGTCAGCTCAGGCCTAGGACTCCAGAAAGGGATCCCGGGAGATTCTGATGTGGACAGTATGGGGATGGTACCACAAATATCTCACTCTCAACAGTAGAAAAGGACGGTGGGCCAAGCCATGGCTCAAGCAGAGATTCTGTTCACATAGCAGGTGTATGTGGTGGGTCTTGGCTCAGATCCACTCTTGAAAGGGGAAAAAGCTCTTGATGTTGGGGGTGTTCTGGAGATTCACACAGATAAAAGCAAAAAATCCAACCCAGTGACTGGTGAGATGGCTCTGCAGGGAAGTGCTTGCTGTGCTCGCCTGATGACCTGAGTTCGATTCCTGGAACCCAGGTAAAGGTGGAAGGAGAGAACTTACTTACACATCACACACACACACACACACACACACACACACACACGCACGCACGCACGCACGCACGCATGCACGTACACACATGCACGCACGCACGCACACACACATGAACGCATGCACGCACGCTGATAAATAAAAATTCTAAAAAATTCAATCTGGCATGACTTTTGCCCTCTGCCTCCACCTTGTAGACAACTAATGATGTTCAAAGACATTTTGGGTTGTCACAACTTTAAGAATGACCAGTAGAGTTGGATAGAATGTCCACTGGTCTGTAAATCCCATGAAGGTTGAGACCGTCTTTTCCTGTCTTCCACTACAGCCAGCAGGCAGCTCAGTGTGCACACTTGGAAAATACTCATTGCACTGGCTGCCCAACTGACTGTGTTACTCTGTCCTTTAGTTCCATTTCCCTAACAACTTGGGGTGATACAGGATGTTGGTCTTGCTGTCTGTCTACAGCTGGTCCTTTACTCCAAGGTGTGATGTCAACACTCTGATTCCAGACAGCCACACACTTCCTCATCTGTCACTCACCCTCTCACAAAGCAGGGGACCACGTCATCAGCCTGTATTCTGTTGAGCCAGGAGGAGCACACGCCATGGTGAATTGGTCCTTCTCCGTCTAGTGGAAGAAGCAGGTGGCTGTCACTCACTGCCCCACCTTCCCTGCCCTGAGCCCACCTCCACCCTCAGTGCACCTGGTCAATGCCAAGTTTGTGCATTGGAATTCTGGGTCTGGATGCCTTCCTCTGAAGGGGAAGAGGGACTAGCACAGTCAGGGTGAGCTGGTTATGCACTTGCCTGGGTTCTGGGTCTGGATAAGTCACATTCAGACCCTACCCACTTCAGGGGCCTGGGTCAAGGTGCTCTGGGTGGCTTGTGGGAATCCTGGTCTCAGCCTCCAGGCAGGAAATATGAGGGCAGTAGCCATGGCCAGGCCTGACTGATATACCGCTGAGCTCCCCAGGGAAGGGTGGGGGAGGTTTTTCCTAGGTGCTGAGTGGGGTCTGCTGTGAGGATGAAGCGAATCAAAGGGTGTCTCAGGCTCCCGAATACATATCTTATCTCTTTTTAAGCCTACTCAGGGTAGGCTCAGGCCTGGGGACAGTGAGCTGCTGTGTGTTCTTCCTCCCTTCCCTGGGCTTAGATGGGCGTGTCCTCCAAGAATTTGGAATCTGATCCACAAGCAGTTTAGGAAGAGACTGTGACACCTGGGGGAAAATGCAGACCCAAGGGTCTCCCAGCCTGTGTCCACCCCACCCCCACATGCGTACCTCGAGTGTGGTAGGAGACGATGGCCACAGTGAGGTGTACCTCATCGGGGTACATGTCTGGGGAGGAGCTGATAGAATAGTACCGTGGCTGCAGCAGTGACAGTTGTGTAAGGAGCAGCGTGGCCGGCATCTGGATGGATGGGAACTCCTCCAGCACCTCCACCATGGTGGGGTTCTTGCCCCATTTCCACTCTTCATACTCCTGTAGCCCCTGTGGCAAGAGAGGACAGAGGGGTTCTTGAGGCCGGGTCTTGGGTTTCTGGTTGGACCTGATGGAGGCTCAGGGAAGAGATAAACTAAGACTGCTGAGCTCTGTGTTCGAGATAGATTGCCTCTTATGGTTATGGTTCTGGTGTAGCATGCCCCCTACAGGCTCATGTGTTTGGACACTTGGTCCTCAGATGGTACTGTTTTGGGAGGTTACAGAACCCTTAGGAGGTGGGGCCTAGTTGGAGGAAGTGAGTCACTGGGGGGACCTGGGGTTTTATAACCTGGCTCCACCTACTGTCTGCTCTCTGCTTCCTGATTGCAAATGTAATGTGACCAGCTATCGCATGCTCCTGCCACCAAGCCTCCTCTGTCAAGTGTACTCTGTCAACTGCCAATCTGAACAAACTCTTCTTCCCTTAAGTTGCCTCTTGTTGGGTATTTGGTTACAAGGATGACTACAGCTATTGCAAAATTCCCAAGGCTGGTTAATTTGGTCAATGGAAATATTCCACTAGTATCCTAGAGGCTCATGATTAAGGCACCTGCAGATCTGGCATCTGGTAAGGACCTACTTTTCATAGGTGGCACTTGCTACATATCCTTACATGGCAGAAGGGGGGGTGGGGGCACTGTTCCCCAGTTTTCTTTTATAGATGCTGATCTGATCCACAAGGGCAGAGTCCTTAACCTAGTCACCCCTACTAGGCCAGCACCCAGTCAGTTGATCTACATCCCTGTCTCTTTAAAAAATATTTTTATGTGTATATTTTTTATATGTATGAGGGTTTACCTGTATGTATGTAAGTGTACCTGTGCATGCAATGCCTAAGGCGGCCAGAAGAGGTGTTAGACCTCTTGGAACTGGAGTTATAGACTGTTGTTAGCTGCCGTGTGGGTGCTGGGAAGGAACTGAACCCAAGTCTTCTGCAAGAGCAGCCTGTGCCCTTAACTACTGAGTCATCTCTTCAGCCTTCATCCCCACCTCTTAATACCATCTCCTGACTGTTGGATGGTCGCACCAAACCTAACTGTGGGAGTTAATATTTTTCCATGCTGGAAATTGAACATAGTGCCTCACACATGTGGGCTGGTACTCTACACTGAGCTATATTTCCAACTAAGGGAGCTACCTTTTGATGTGAGAATTTTAGGGACGATAAGCACTCAGCCCTCAGAAGGCTGGCTAGCCTCATTGCACAGAGGACACTGGAACACAGAGGTCCTTGTGACCTATGAGAACTAGGGTTTATAGCTCAGTTGGGGAGGTAAACCTCAGCTGCACACCAATTCTCACTCATCATCTGTTTATATTTTCAAATGGTTAGGAAAAAATATTAAAAGAAGAGTATGGTGGTTGGAAAGAGAAGTTTCCCACATAGGCTTGAACACTTGGCTCCCAGGTAGTGGTGCTGTTTGGGTAGGTTCTGGAACCTTTAGGAGATAGAGACTTGATACAAGAAGTATGTCACTGGGGGTGGGTTTTGAAGTTTTATAACCCTATCCCACTTCCTGTTCTCTCTGTTTCCTGTGTGTGGGTGACATGTGATCAGCTAGCATCATGCTCCTGCCTGTCTGCATTCCCTGCCTGCTACTGTACCCCTCCACTATGATGGACTTTATCCCTTTGGAAGCCCAAGCCAATATAAACCCTTTCGTCCTTACATTGCTTTTGGTAATGGTCTTTATCACAGCAACAGAAAAGTATAAAGCTTGGTATGGTGGTACGCATCTTTGATCACAGTACTTGGGAGGAAGAGGCAGGCGGATCTCTGTGAGTTTAAGGCCAGCCTATTCTACATAGCAAATACACAAAAGAATCTAATACAAAGAGTAGTATTTTATGGTCTAAGAACACAGTATGGAATTAAAACGCCGGTGCCCATAAGTACTTTGATTGGCGGGCCATACCATGCTCTGTGCATTGTCGATGCTGTGGCACAACCACACAGAGTTGAACAACCGCTACAGACACCAAAAGGGCCCCAAGATGAAAGAGTTCATCATCTGGCCTATCACAGAAGCCTGCTGGTCCCTATTCTGGACAGTCTGGTTCAAGAATCTGGGTTCCTAACCGTTATGCTCTCCGGAAGGTCAATGCAATGCATTGTGGAGCTGTGGCAGGTGTAGCAGGCAGAGAAGGCAGACCTGTGATTCACTGGCTGCTGAGGCTGGGGATGGACCCTCAGAGGGTAGGGGCACATTCAAAATTGATAAGTGACAGTGTGGGACAGATGGGCAGAGAGTGTGGAGGACCATGTGGGGTACTGTATAGCAAACCCCAGCTGTGACCAGGAGGCACAAGAACTCTGGGGGCTCTGCAGTTTTTCCCACGCCTCTTCAGATGCTCTTGGTGGCAGAAGAGGTTCAGTTCTCAAGACCAGGGATAAAGTTGATAATAGGATGTTGTCTAACCAGGAGCACTGTATAACATGTTCCTAAAAAAATCATCTGTCTTATTTACTTTTGCATAGCTGTGATCAAATATGACACAAACAACTCAAGGGAGGATTTATTTTGGCTCACAGTTCCAGAGTGTTTAGCCTGTGGTGGCTTGGCCCTATACACTTGAGAACAGTGTGGCAGTGGGAGCATGTGGTAGAGGGAGGTGTACATCCCAGCAGAGCTGGAAATAGAGAACCACAGGAAGTGGCCAGGGATAGTATACTTCAAGGACTTGTCCCCAGTGACCTACTTCCTTCAGTAGGTCCTACCTCTTCAAGTTTCCAGAACTTTCCACAATAGCATCACCATTTGGGAACCAAGTGTTCAAAACGTGAGCTTATAGGGACATTTCAGACTCAAACCATAATACCATCAACCCTACTCTTATAGATAGAAGAAGGTATTTAAAAATGTTTCTGTGTATGTATATGTCTACAGGTGTGTATAGGTATGTGTTGGGGAGTGCTTGAGGAAGCCAGATGAGAGCCTTAGATCCCCTGGAGCTAGTTACAGGCAGTTGTAAGCCACTTGATGTGGGTGCTGGGAATCAAATTCTGGTCCTCTGCAAGAACAGTAAATGCTCTTAACCACTGAGCCATCTCTCCATCCCTGAGAATGGTATCTAAGGGCACTCACTTCCAGCCCTCAGGCTCCCAGAAACTCCAGCTACTGGAGAGTGTATTAGTGACTTTTCTTGTTGCTGTGACCAAATTCCTGACAAGAAGCAACCTAAGGAAGAAGGATTTGTTTTAGCTTACAATTTGAGGAGGGAAAGGCACAGCTGAAGGACCAGGATGTGGCTGGTCACATTACATTCACAGTCAGGAAGCAAAGAGGGAATAGAAAGTAGGGTTGGGCTATAAAACTTCAAGGCCCCCTGCCCCGCCCCAATGACCCACTTCCTCTAGAGAGGTCCCATTCCCTAAAAGTTCTGTAACTTTCTCAAAACAATGCCACTAGCCTGGGACCAAGTAAGTGTTTCAAATACATGAACCTGTAGGGGACATCTCACATTCAAACCACAACAGAGGTTAAGTGACCAAGAGCCTCAGTGGAGGTCATTGAGGGGACATTTACCTAAAACTGATCCCCCGTCAGTGACCTCTACCTGAAACACTTGTCAGCTGGGTTGCTGCTGGGTCTGGGTTTCTGCAGGCTGCTCCCAGCTCACGGCTGGCTGACCACAAAAGTTGGTCTCTACCAAAGAATCATGACTTTGGTTCTAGAAATCCCCAAGGACCCTGAACATTTCTTAGAAACCACATCGCAAGCTAGGACACTTCCCCTTGACCTTCCTCCTCTGCCTTTTTCGAGGCACCAGCCCTGTTTTGCAGTCTGACATTTTCTCCCATCCTTCTCTATTTCTTCCTACTCTCTCTCTCATAGGTGTTTCCACTAATAAAAATATCCCTGCTCAGTTATCCCCGCTTGGAGACCCTGTGCTTTTGGGAAGAAATGGACTTATGAATCTATTTCAAAGACTATTGTGTAAAACAGTCCCTCATCTTTCCTCCCCCTACCATTAATTACAAGTTTTAAGTCCAAAGTATCCATATCCTAAAAGTGATCAAATTCTGCTAAGCTTCTGATGGAAGATGACAGTCTCCTGTTCCACACTGCCATCTGCTCCCAGCTCCCCAGAGCCAATCACTTCAGATACTTCAGCTGCCTTCTGGTGTTTATTTTCATATTTCTCAAAAATATGTGCTTGCTAATGAGCCACCTCCTTGCTGCCCACCATTCAGTCCCCTTTCCTGGATAGCAGGAAAAAAAATAAAAGCAAACCAGCTTTTGCTAAGGGCTTGTGGCTTACAAAGGACCCCACTGGGAAGGGGATGGGTTGGGTGGTCCTCCTGGGTGGGGAGGATTCTTCTAAAAATATTTCAATCACATTTATTTTGTGTGTGTGTGTGTGCGTGTGCACACACATGCATATTCATATGCATATGTGTGCATGTGTGAGGGCTCATGCATGCTGTGGTGTCCATGTGGAGGTCAGAGGACAGTTTTTCTCCTTCTATCTCTGTGGGCCTCAGTAATCAAACTCAGGTCATCAGGCTTGGAAGCAAGCACCTTTACCCGTTGAGCCATCTCAACAGCTCCTTACCCCCTTTTTTTTGAGACAGGGTCTCGTGTATTCCAGGCTGGCCTTACTCTAGGCTGTCAAGGATGACCTTGAACTCCTGATTCTCTGCCCCTAGCCCCCGTACTGAGATTACAGGTGGTTTATGTTGTACTGGGGCTTAAGCCCAGGACTTCCTGCAGGTTAGACCCCAAGCTCTAGTTAGGATTCTTCTAGAGCAAGGTGGGGTAACAGTTTGGGCCAGGCACTTTCCTGGTGTCTAGGCAAGGGTAGTAAAGCTGTTAAAGTCTCAGTCTCTCTCTCTCTCTCTCTCTCTCTCTCTCTCTTCAGATCCAGGTAAGGATCTGTCTCCCTCTCCCTCTCCCTCTCCCTCTCCCCTCTCCCTTTCTTTTGGTCTTTTTGAGACAGGGTCTCCCTGTAGGCCCAGCTGGCCTGGAACTCACTATGTAGACCAGGCTGGTCTTGAACTCACAGAGATCTACCTGCCTCTGCCTCCTGAGTGTTGGGATTAAAGGCGTGCGCCATCACACCCAGCTGAAATCTCTTTTATCTAGCGGTCCTTATAGTTATTTACACCAGAAAACACTACTACCAGAATCGAACCTCTATGTTTAAACCAGGGCACTGTGAGGGTCTCTGTTTTCATTTAATTCTTCTGTGTATATGCTAAGATGGCACTCACAGGAGTTCAAGGTCACAAACGAAGGTGGTAAAAGAATTAGGGCAGCAACTTCTATAGTGGCCAGAGCCTGGTGAATTTCAAGAGGGGTCATTCTTATATTGTCAGGCATTAGAGCCAGGGGAGATAGTTGGGACAAGCCAAGATGGCAGCCGTATGCAAATGATAAAATGGAGATCATATGTAAATGAGAAAACACAGCCATATGCAAACATGGCCACTGTTGCTCAAGACTGCCATCTACTGGGCATAGTTGGAAGAGCAGTTTCATAGCTCTCCAGTATCTAGGCTATGAAAGGCTGCGGGTTGTGCTGAGCCCAGTACCCACCTTGCTGAGGACCAGCAGTCGCTGCTTCTCTTTCTCACTGGTGGCCAGGGAGGCAAACTGCTGCAACTGCAGGGGTGTGGGTGGCGTGGTGATGTCCAGGTAGTACTTGAAGGCTTGGAAGATGGTGCAGGGTGGGAGGCGAGATTCGTCCTTCCAGTTGCTGATAACACCTGGCAAGGACACTGGGGATGAAGTTTGGGTTCCAGTCTGGGGTCCAGACCTGTTCTAAACTTACTCAATCCTCACCACAGGCCTGGGTGGTTACTGCTATAATGCTCAGTGGTGGAAAGGGGAAGCATGGGGAGGCTAAGGAATTTGTCCAAGGTCACACAGCCTTTTGTGTGAAGGCAGGCATTCTGGCCTCAGATCTTCTCTAACTACTCCACTGTACATCTGGCCCTCCTGTCCAAGGCTTCTGTGTATTCCACAAACGGTTGAAAATACAGAGTAATTTCATCTGCACCAACCGTGTTCTTGTTATTATCTCTAAATGATTGGGAATAGCTACTATTTATAGGTTTTACATTCTGTTGGATTTGGTAATTTATCTAGAGAAGGTTTAAAGCATACAGGGGGACATGCATAAGTGCTTTGCAAGCATGATGCCATTTATATAAGGGAATGAGCATGTGTGGATTCTGGTACCTTCTGGGGGTCCTGGAACCCTGCCCCCATAGAGACTGGGAGAGGACAATTTTGTTTCCATGTAGTTTCCATCCGAACACAAGCTTCTGATTCACCATGAATTCAAACCAGGATGGAAAGTTCTGGTCTAATCCAAAGAACTATGTGGGGTGGATTCAGAAAGGAGACACATCTCTCTCCATAGTGGCCTTCCTAGGGATTTTCAAGAAGGCTTTGACTGACTGCATGATATTTTCATATTCCCACCAGTTCCCTTATAAAGGTGACAGCCACCATGTCACAGGCTGCCAGGTAAGGCTACCACAGCTCCTTGTACTGGACCGGAAGCCCAACTGTGTCTAGGAGGTGAAGGAGAAGCTCAGAGACCCATTGCCTCTGAAGCTTCTTCAAGCCAGGCATGATGGTGTATAGCTGTACTCCCAGCACTCAGAGGCTGAAGCAGGAGGACTGAGTCAAGGAAAGAGGAAAGGGAGGAAGGAGAAAAGGAAGGAAGGGATGGCTGGGGAAATGGCTCAGTGGTTAAGAGCACTGGCTATTCTTGCAGAGGACCCAGGCTTGATTCCCAGCACCTGCATGGCAGCTAATAACCATTTGTAACCCCATTTACATGTATCTGATGCCCTCCTCTGGCCTCCATAGGCATTTCTGACATGGGGACACTTACATACATGCAGCAAAATGTTCATATACATAAAACAAAAAGCTCTGGAAAAAAAAAGAAAGAAGGGAAGAAGGGAAGGAAGAAGGAGAGTGCAGTCCACACTAGTGTCTATGGGCTGGGCTGAGGTAGGAGTCCCTCTCTACAGGTTGCCCAGGTCCTGGCATCCTAGTATCTGCTCTGCCACTCTGGGTCAAGGTCCTCTCGGCCCTCTGTCATAGGTACAGCTGGGAGCCTTACCCAGAGCTGTGTTCCGCTCCTCCAACAGTTCCACCTTCACCATCTGGTTCACAGGTGGTGCATCCTCCAGCCGCTCAATGAGCGCATTCACAAGGTCCTCGTGGTTGCCCGGGAAGACGCCCAGGTGGTCCCCTGGCTGGTACTGCAGCTCCTGATTCCCATTGGTGTGGAGACGCACAAAGATGGTTGATCGGCTGCAGGGAAAGACAAGCGAAACCATCGGACATAGATCACCACCTGGCCCTTCTTGGCCTCTGGACTTTCTGTTGGCTGTAGCTCACCTTGGTCCATGCTCCCTGGCTCTGGGTCAGCAAGGCACATACCCACCATTCCACACTTCATAGATTTTGCCTACCTCATCAGTGAGTTCCCATTATAAAGCCAACAGCCAAGTCCTGGTTTCACTGGTCCAGAGACATCACATTCACTTTCTCAACTCCCTTTTTGGGTCCAGTTCCCAAGCTCTCCGTGACCTCTCTGGTGTTCCCAGCTCAGTCTCTTTTGCTGGTTCCTTCTTATCCCCCAAGCCCTGAATCCTGGTGTACCCTGGGACTGGGTCCTCAGATGTGTCTCCTTTACTTTCTGACTCCCAGTATCGGTTACTTCCTCTTGTGATTGTGATGTGTTCTGGGACAACAGGAACTCTACTATTCAGGGCATTCACCCATTTTGACCACTTCTCTGTCCCTGGTGTCTATGACAGTGTCTAGCACATAGTCCATCCTCAGAGACCTTGCTGATTCCTGAGAACATGGGTACTGGCCGTGTTCTCAGTACCCATGTTCTCAGGAATCAGCATCCCACTATGGCCATAGGCAGGGGTGTCCCCATTTTATGAAGTTCCATTTTTTTTTCATAGAATTCCAAGCTCTTTCTTTTAGGAAATTATTTTATTTTATTCTACGTGCATGAGTGTATTGCCTGCATGTACGTAAGTATACCCATGCTGTGCAATGCCCATAGAGGTCAGAAAAGGGTGTCGGATCTCCTGGAACTGGAGTTAAAGATGGTTGTTAGCGGCCATGTGAGTGCTGGGAACCAAACCTGGGTCCTCTGCGAGGGCATCCAGTGCTTTTAACTGCTGAGCCACCTTTCCAGCCCCCAAGCTCTCTCTTTAAAATGTTTTAAACATATTTTATTTATTATTTTTATTTTGTGAGTGCACCCATGTCGTGCAATGCCACAGAGGTCAGAAGAGGGCTTCTGATTTCCCTGGAATTGGAGTTAAGGATGGTTTGTAGCCACCATGTGGGTGCTGGGAATCGAACCTGGGTCCTCTGCAAGAGCAGTCAGTGCTCTTAACCACTGAGCAATCTCTCTAGCCCCTAAAATGGTTTTTAAAAAATATTTATTTATTTATTTATTATTTATGTATGTGGTGGTAGTGATGGTTTGTGCTTATTAAGATGCACCTGCAGAAATCAGAGGACAACTTGAGGGAATCGATTTTTAGCTTCCACCATGTGAATCCTGGGCATTGAACTCAGGTTGGCAGGCTTGGGAGCAAGTACCCACTGAGCCATCTCACTGGTCCTCTACTCTCTTTTGCAACCAGAGTCCTGTGCTGTGGAAAAGGGGAGACCTATTCTTAAGCTCAAGGTCCTCTTATACATATAGTCATTAATATTATAAAATATAGAGATCTTGGAAAACTTATGCCTACCTGGTCACACAGTTTTGCATTGTTTTGTGTGTTTCAAATTCAGGAGGCTTGTGTTAATCAGCTGCTTCCAAAACAAGTTCTTTCTGGGCCTGGTGACAAAGGCCTATATATCCAGCTGCTTGAGAGGCTGAGGCAGGAATATAGTAAATTCACAGTGTGCTTGGGCTACTGAGTGAGTTCAAGACTAGCCTGGGCAACTTAGTGAGACCCTGTCTCATAACAAAAAGCAAAGTATGAACTTGCACCCACTTGTGAAAGAGATGTACTCTTGCTCTGGAGTGTGTTACTGAATATGTTAAATCTGTAGTGAAATGTTTCTTCGAATCATGTAGTCATTAAAAATTAAAAAAATGATTAAAAAATAATAATTAGTAGATGTGAAAAACATTACCATTGAAATCTACCTGATGACTTTATATCCATGCTCAGATGCCT